CGAGAGACCGGCGGGCAGCAGGCCGGCCACACAGCTTTCAGATTCTTCTTCGATTGGATCGGAGGATGGGCAGGCCGGCGGCGGCGATCTGTGAATATTCCTCCGACGTACAGCTATATACGGAGTATAATTTATTCTTTCTTGGAAGAAAAACAGAGCATGTATGATCTTACTTATTTATTTATGCATTCATCAACGGAAAAGGAAATGAGGGGGAGAGCATTAATACGAGGAAGAGGAGTAAGAGCAGGCAAGAAATCGACGGTGTGGCGGCGGCGGCGGAGGATCCAGGTGGTGGAGGTGGGTGTAGGAAGTAGAATGGGAAGTAGGGGAGAATTGGGTTAGGCGGTGGCGGCGCAGGTCCTGTGGGGGGCTGGTAGCTGTAGCCCGGAGCTGGCGGTGATGGATTGTAGGGTGGGCCGGGTGGGCCAGTGCTAATAGCAGGTGGGGTCACGGGGGTGTAACTCGGCGGGTTGTCGTTGGAGCCTGACGGCGGCGTTGGCGGCGGCGTTGGCAAGTTCTCGTTACCCGGGGTAGCAGGAGGAATGGGCGGCGGCGGCGGGCAGGTGCTGGGGTCGGCAGGCGGAGATGGCGGCGTCGGCGGCGGCAAGCTGCACTGACAAACAGGTGTGGGGTCAGCGGTGCAGCCGCTGTTCAACAGTGCTGACGTGATCGCCACCCAGAAACAAATCCTGATGGCGGCGCCCTCCATTATTCTAGCTCTGTATTTATATAGAAACAGAGAAAAGAATGGATCCTAGCTAGCTTGATGGAATTGAATGGCAGCTAGCAGTGGTGGGTTCTGCAAAAGTTAAGGATCGGTCGCTTTTGAGGAAATCAATCAATCAGGAAACGTCGGAACGGAAAAAGTTAAGATTTTGAGTCTTTTGGTGGGGAAGGGCCCGGCCGCCGGCAACTCAACATCAGGGCACTTGTAGACGAAGGAAATTTTGGATGGAGGAAAACCAAAGACGATGAAATTAAAAGGGATTAATAGGTGCTTGTTTACTAATATCTTTTGATGGGGAATGACTATTAATTATGATTATGATTACCCCTTTTATTATTACTCCCTATCTCTATCTACTACTACGTACGTATCAATCAATCTATATATATGTTCACTCACCTTTATTAAATAAAAAAAATAAAATTGCACCCATTTTTTTACTTTCCCATCAACTTTACCACTTCTCTGCTTTTTTAACCATTTACAAAATTTTAATGATGCATATTACAGAAGGTCTGATGAATTTTCCTCACCTTTCGTTTTAATAAGGTACAACCATACATAATTTGTGTCGGAAAATTGTTTGATAAGTTGAAGCTGTTGGAAATTGATGAATTGCTAGAATATGTGAATTGCGAAAAATTATACTTTATTCGTTCTTTATTAATTGCAGCATTGTGTTTTTTTTGCATTATTTATACATTTTACTTTGATCACGATTTTTGAACTAATATGTTTAATCAAATTATCATGTATAAAATGTTATGGAGTATATAATTTTTATTCATGTAATTTTTAAATAATATATGTATCAAATGTTATGGAGTATATAATTTTTATTCATGTAATTTTCTAAATAATATATTTTTATAATGTTTAGTAATAGGGGTTTTTACAAGAATATTACTAAAATAAAACATATATTCATAAATATGACTATTCATTACTACAATGTGGTGTTGTGGTAACTTAAGCTCAAAACTTGAACGTCACTAGTCACTAGTCATATTTTTGTAAATCATCTTTATTTTGGTCGTATTTATGTAATTATTTCTTAGTAATATACATTAAATATAATTACGATCAAAATAGCGTATTAGCAAACAAGAAAGTCAAACTGTTACAACTATTAATAAAATAAAGAAAATACTTTATTTAAAAATAACTATGATGATCTTTGAAGTGACTTCAGTACACAAAACACAAAAGTAACTTTAACTTATAATTATTTTTATTATTACATATTTTAGTGCGTGAAATTTGAAGTCCCCTATTGATAAAATATGATTGACTAAGACTAATAAGTTGAAACTTTGGGTTGCGGGCTAAACAGCTCATATTCTTCTGTTGGATTATGATTTTTGCATTCACTTTTTTCGACACAATTTAATTGCATTCTACACTTTTTGGTTATCACCGGATTGTTTATCACCTAGCACTTGCTTAAAATTATTTATGAAAAAATTAACTGTATTTTGTAAGGAGGGTTTTGCATTTTGTTTTATGAACATAGATGGAGTAGAAGAGAAGTCGGGGTGGAGAAATGGTTCAAAAAGGGGCCGCCGACGCGTTTTACTTTGTGTGGCACCGCGTAAACAATTTGACAAATTCACTTTCTTTCCGGAAAATGTTTTCTTGCTATACAACTTTACTCATTTCATCTACTCTACATGTCTATATTTCCTACCAACCATTGAATAACTACACACTATTCTAGTATTCTACTACCAGTTTGTACATCATTATTCATTCGTATTCTATAATTTATTCGCAATACAAATATACAATATTGAAAAATTTAAAATTCCGGTTGACTATCCAAAAAATACATATGTTAATGATATGTAATATGTACGGAGGTGTAGAAAGAAATTGTTCTCGTGCCTTTGAATTGTTTTGCCTATCTCTCTCTAGCGCCACCATAGGTTGGCCTAGGGTTTTGTCCGGCGGCGGGCTTCTTGGCTTGCCACCGCATTTTTATTAGTTAGTTTTCGGCAAGGACAAAGGGTTGGAGCAAGATTTCGGCTTCGGCGGTTCGAATGCATTCGGTATCGGCATTGACGAAGGGTGCAGCGGCGGCTTCGGTGGGTCCTCTGCGGCGGCTTTGAGCAGTGTGTGGAACGAATGGAAGAGTTGATGCACCAGTACAAGAGGACGGTATTAGGGGAAGAAAACACCAACTTGAATTTTGATGATAAGAAGGATGGAGAGTTGTTTTCAACAGAGAAGGGAGCTGAATTTCTGGTGATGGGAGTTGCCTTCAAGAATTGGAAAGAAGTTACAGTACTATCGGATCGTCCCCCTCCTGAACTGCCGCCGTGGAGTGCAGGAGAGGCTATGGTTTGGTTTGGATTTTCTGGCAACGGAAGTATTTCTTATTTTGTTTTGTTTGTTTTTTCAGTAATTGTCATTTCCGTTTTGGTGTTTGTTTTTTCTGTTATGTTCCAGTTTGTAAGACATTGATTTTGGATATGAGGGATGAGAGGAATTTGGTAACCGAGTTAGGCTTTTTGTTTCCCGGTTATGGATCAGCGAATTATATTGCTACGACGATTAATTCCGAGTCTGGTTCGAGGGATGACGGCTATCAGTTTTCTTTTTGTCAGTTGACGCATATTCTGAACTTTTATTGGTTATTTATCTAAGCCGATTTCTGTCAAAAAAATGTAATATGTACGGAATATTTTTTTTTGGAAGAAATGTAAGGAGTATATTTGAACTTTGTATACATAAGTAGCACAATGATGATGTTCATTAAATGTAAACTTATAGAGGTAAGTATATCATTTAAAATGTGCTAGCATTTATCTTGATGCACATAACGTTCTAAGCTTCCATTTGAGATGTAAATAAAATTCCTTCTGATCTACAAATTACAATACTTATGATTTGGTATTTATCAACACTAGAATTTCATCAATAAAATGTTTAATTGACTATTAGTAAAAATAAAGAGAAAAATTGTCAAATCTGCCCTCGAAGTATACCAAAAAAAGTCAATTAGTCACAATGTCACACTAATTAAAAAAACACTCAATTAATTCCATAAACTATATAAAAACGATCAAATTTTGAATTTAGTAAGTTGATTCACGATTAACCGGTCCTCTGCTTACGTGGCAGTCCAGGTGGCGTAGTAAAATGTTTTTCCGTTTTTCCTTTTTTTTTTCTTGTTTCTGATAGAAGATCACTGTCATATTTCTTTTCTTCAACCTGTCCCTCAATTCTTCTTTTACCGCACACGGCACACCCCACCTCTACCCCTTCCCTTCTTTCTTGTTCTTCTTAAGCCCAACTCACATCTCCCTTCTTCTTCTCCTCCCCCCCCTACCATGCCCCACCCTCGTATTTCATAGTCATACTACAAATATCAAATAGTTTGGACTTTGGATAGAAGCATTTGTCAAGTCAAAAAGAGGAATGACAACCTACTAAATTCTAAATTTGATTAGTTTTGTATAGTTCTTGGACTTAGCGGGTGTTTCTTTAGGTTAGAGGGCCTAATTGACTTTATTGATATACTTAATTTTAACAATTTTTCATAAAATAAAAAATTAAATCATTAAAATTTAATCAAGGATAAATTTTGTTATATCTTATTTAGAAAATTCATTTAGTGCATTAATAAATAAAATGTAATAAAAGTAGAAAAGTAGAGGATGAAAACATTGTAAAATATAAAACATTTCAACCATGGTGTTGAAATAATCTATATTGTACTCGTTCATTCTCCATTCGTTAATAGGTAAAAGACATTGAATTTTAGACTATTTAAAACACATTTTAAGCTATGCACACAACCACAGCCACACACCCTACTTTAACTGTTTTTTAATTTTTATTTTTTATTTTACCCTACAGGGTCAAAGGGAGGAGGCTGAAGGGAGTTTGGGGTAAACAAGAATGAAACTGTCTCCATGAAACAAGGTTGAGGAAGTAGTACATAAAGATAAAGATAAAGCAAAAAAAGTGTGAAGGACTGAAGTGTATATCTTCTAAAACAGCTAATATCATTTATTCACTTGTAACTTGTGCAAACCAATTTAGGGAAAGGCAAAGAACAGTCATATTGATGGCAGAAAGATGCAAGAATACTAGGGAAATGAATGACAATTCTAAGGAAAGATGTTTTCATGTGTTTGGATCATTCCCTAGTGATTTTATTTTGATTGTCGTACATTACCGCTGTGGCGCTGCGCTGCAATCATTTTCCAAATTTCCAATACATACATAATAATTAAAATTTAGGTTTGATTAATTTTAGGTGATTACAATTTTAGGTTTGATCTGCCAAACAGCAAGTACATGAATCGCACGAGTTGGGAGTCTGAATAGTAACACAATATAAATCGAACAAATTTACAGATACAGTCATATCCACTACCCATTACATTGAAGCTGTTTCCGACCTGTCTCCGAACAAATATCCACAATTTCTTCATATCTACAATATAAATCGAACAAATAAAGCAAAATGGCTCACTTCTTTGTTACAGATACACTGTCATATCCATGATTGCATATGCTCGGAGTCTCAAACACAAGTACATTTGATAGTACAAAATTAAATATGAATTTTTGAGAAGAAAATGGTGGAACTATCATAAAATCCATTCCAGAAATCTTCAAAGAACAGGTATGGGCTATGGCTTCCATAATTTCATTGTGCAGTCTTCACCGTATGTGGTGGCAACAAGATTTTTATGGGGATGGTGAGTAATACCAATCACATCTTTCTCATGCACCTGCCACCCTAGTATTGATATATTTGGAACATTGGTGAACAAATTGTCATTGAGGTGGCCTTTGTAGTTAACATCATCATCAAAGTCTCCTACCTACACGGGGGGGGGGGGGGGGGGGTCGGATGTACACAACCTTACGCCTGTACTGAAGCACACAGACTATTTCCGGATGACTAGCGGTGAAATCGCGTTGAAAATTGCATGGTCTGACTGTGTAAAAATTTGTTGACTAGTGAAACATTTTGCTTTATTCCATTATATTCTCAAGCCAAAAAGCATGCAGGACTCCCTTTCAAATTAGTACTTCCTCCGTCCCGCAATTTAATTGACTCCCTTTCAATTTTAAGTTGTCCTAGATACTACCTCCTTACCGATCGGAGGTGGTGGTGCTGGGAGGCAGTAGAGGCGATGGGAAAGGCATCCATATTATTTTTATATTTTTTATGTGTTTTCACTATGTTTTATTAATTTTTTAAATATTTTTATTTTAAAAAAATAAAAAAATTATATTATAAATACGGAGCATTTTATTAATTTTTTATTATTTTCTTACGAATTTTATTATTTTTTACGACTTTTTTATGAATTAAAACATTTTATTATGAATTAATACCCCTAGGGGTAATTAAGGGTAGAAATTAATTGTTTCAAAAAAGGGTAGAAAATTAATGTTTAGTCCTATTTGTGGAAGATTTAGGTTTTAGTGCTATTTTGGCAATTAAGTTTCCACTTAATCCTATTTAGGGCAATTACTATATAAGATAAGATCATATAGCATATCAAATGATGGAATTAGGACGTGTTAAATGTGAAAGTTGAGCTAAACTATGTTGAGGCAATTAACTCCAAAAATAGCTAGTAAGAACAACTGAACATTTATCTCAAACAAGTACTGGTTGAGAATATTCAAGAACTTCGGGGACATCTATGACACATTCAAATACAATATTTACAGGAAATGGGTAAACTATTTGAAGGAAAATAACAGTTACCTGGGGAGACAAATGAGGAGAAGAGGGAGTTTACTGGCATCACAATGAATGGGTTTAGGCGGGGGAAGGAGCAGACAACTGCTTATTTGATAGAGAGTTGGAAGAGCATGGGGCGGGTAGGCACAGTATTGAAGTCCAACCCCCCAAATGTGTTTTTTTGAATTCTCAATCCATGTCATTATTGGTTTATCATGGCTTGTATTTAAGCCACTACCATTTTCATTTCCATGACTTACCATGTGTAGACTAATATTGTTAAATCCAAACTTTGGATTCAACTTAGAGGATGCAAAGGAATTTGCAATAAGACTAATATTGTTGAATAAAATATAAGGAGTATGTTGTATATATCTAGGGATTAGTATTTATGAATAGATAAAAATGATTCCGGACAAATACTAAATAAATTTATGGAGTTTGAGCCAACATTTTTTCCTTTGAATTTCTCCTCTATTTTCCTTTGTTTTCTTTCCCCACCATTTCCCGCATTCCAGATGGACCCAGCGTAAATTAGTGATGTATGTCAACAAACAAGGCTAGGATTATTTGTACCTCATTACTTCTGGCCTACTCCATTTTTTTTTTCTTTTTTTACAGTTCCAAGCCAGAAGTGTCCTGTTCCAAACTGGAACTGACGGTTCACAGTTCCACATTCTCTAAAACTATGAAGTATGAACAGGTTGTGGTTCTAAAACCGGCAGTCCTGGTGAAACAATAGACAGGTCAATTAACAGGTGATTTGGCAATATTTATTAGAAAGTAGAAACACCAGAAAAAAGCACCACCTTGGCACAGCTAGTTCAGGGAGCACCACACTGGATCCACGTCAAATCACTTCCAGTATCCATATCAAGAAAGTATGGCTTAGGAAGATTCCCTATGAGCACATAAGTGTAGTATACCTGTACGGAAATTGTCATTGTGAATTGCTTGTGGCACTAAAACAGAAATATACGCACAAAAAGGCATACAACGCATAACTCTACTGAGATATGCTACAATCTGAACCTAGTAGAGGTTAAATGTATGACACCCCACACATTCTATTGAGTTCATATTAATGCACGACCACTCCAGAGAGTCTAAGGTTTTCAATGACGAGTTGGGGGAGGAAGAAATGGAAACAGCGGTCGTATATAGATAATACCTAGTGAGTTGACTAAAGCAAGCAAAGATGATCAAATTTACCCATCTGGATAAATGTTTCCCTTCAGGGGGGGGGACTGTGGAGTTATGCTTCGCAACTGCAGAAACAGAATTCATAATCTTTGCATGAACTATATCACCCTCCATCGTCTCTCCCACAGCATCGGATTCAAAGTCCTCAAACCTACCAAGTTTAACAACAACATTTTTTAATGCAAAATAATAACGAAATTAAATAAAAAACAGTTAGTGCCACTGTCAAATAAATTCCTCATATATCTCACCTTCCTCGAGAAATAACGGATTCTTCCCAAAAAGAAACTGAAGATACAAGAAAATCTTTCCAGCAATTTTTCAGAATGCATTAGCATATTTGAATGAATGCCAACTAATGCTTTGGTCAATTGTTGCACCAAAGGATTTCAAGAATTGAAACTATGATATCCCCCCCGGGAGGTCTAATGTTTCACCTCTTGTCACTACAGACACGTGTACTCTTCAAAAGAAGAAAAATGTTTCTGTCAAAGTTCTACGCAGCCAATGCTTCATAAGCTTCTTCTTCATCTGATGTCGACTCTTCATTAGACGAGTGTGAAGCGTCTTTTATTTGCCTAGTAAGCCCTCCCAACAGAGAATAAATTTCCAATCTTTGACTGTTTGTGGTGTCTGCAACCATGAAGGAGGAAAATCCAGCTTTCATATCAATCCAAGCACATCCTGGATCTTTCCTCACACCTGAGTCCCTCATTAAGGTTCTTACATTAGCCAGTTTATTCCAACTGCCAGCAGCAGCGTACATGTTTGCTATCAAAACATAGTACCCAGAATTATCTGGCCTCATTTCCAGCAATTTCTCAGCTGCCCACTCACCAATCTCGGTGTTCCCGTGGATTCGGCATGCCCCAATCAGTGTGGCCCACATTTCCTCTGTTGGCTCAAATGACATCTTCATGATAATATGTTGAGCCTTTTTTAGTAAACCTGACCTTCCATAGAGATCAATCATACAGGAAACATGCTCCAGTTGAGGAGTTACGCCGTAAACGCTTTGCATCAGTTCAAAAAGTTTCTCTCCCTGGTCTAAAAGACCAGAATGACTACAAGCTGATAATATGGAAACCATGGTGACATGGTCTGGTTTTATGTGGGACCTAATCATGTCCATGAAAAGTCTAATCGCTTCTTTTCCATTTCCTTGGACACCATATCCAGCTATTAATGAAGTGTATGTCACTGTATCTTTCTTGCTCATGGAATCAAAGAGTTTCTTGGCTAGATACACTTTTCCTGATCTTGCATACATATCCAGAAGAGAGTTCCATAATATCAATTGTTGCTCAAACCCTTCATGCTTACAGAGATAGCAGTGAAACTCTCTTCCATGTTGGAGATTCGCAACCCGAGCACATAATGGAAGTATGCTTGCTATTGTCACATAATTTGGTTTAAATCCGCAAAGCAACATTTCCCGAAAAAAGAATGAGGCTTCCTCATATCTACCGCAATGTGCAAATCCAGATATGATGGAGTTCCAGGAAACTATACTTTTACTCTCTTTCAACTGAAATATAGTATATGCATGTTTTAGATCTTTGCATCTAGCATACATGGTAATCAATGCATTTGTTACATTATCAAAATCCTGAAAATGACTCCGAATGGCCAAACAGTGAATTTCTTTCCCAATCCTTATCAAACCAGTTTGAGAACATGCTCCTAGACCTATAAGAACAGCCACAGGATCCAACACAAACCCGCAATTTCTCATCCGGGAGAGCAACTCAAAAGCACCTTCAAAGTTGCCCGTTTTTGTACACCCGCTAGCTATGGTATTCCAAGTGATATTATTCAACTCAATACCTTTAAAAATCATTCTTTCAAAAAGATCAAAGGCTTTACTCCACATATCATTAGAGGCATATCCAGAAATCATCGCGTTCCAAGAAACAGCGTCCTTAACTAGAATTCGTTCAAAGATCTGACAAGCAATATCCAGTTCCCCGCACTTAGCATACATTGACAGTAAAGCGTTATCAACAAACATGTTTCTTTTCGAAGAACTAGCATCTATAGACTTGTGAACCTCCCTTCCAAAAGAAAGATTCGCCTGTTCTCCACAAGCCTTGAGAACGGATGGATAGGTGAAATTATCAGGCCAGATTCCCTTACTTACCATTTGCTTATAAGCAGATAGAACAGCATCATACTGCCTAACTTTTACATAGGAATAAATGAGAAGGTTCCATGGCAAAGGATGCAAAACATTGGATGTTTCAGTCACTTTGTGAGCATCAAGAAGTAAACCAAATGTTGTGTAGAAGGTGATTATTTTAGGAACCAACATGGCATGGTGTGCAAGACCAGAAGTAATAGCATAGGCATGTAGCTGTTTGCCCTCACTAAATGACTTGAGTTCCGTGCAACATTGGAAGAGAGATGATAAGGACTGTAGCACTGTGTGGCATGGAGATTGTGAGGGTACATTCAACTGAATAAGACCAAAAGTTCTAAAAGCTTTCAATAAATGGCCTTCACTTGCAAAATTCTTCAAGGTTGATAGTAAGCAATCCACCATTGATTCATCATAGGGTACTTTAGTCCTTAAAATTGGTTCATGAGAACTAGAAACAAGGGATTCAATATTCTTTTTAATGTCTGACACTTTAACACATTGTCGCCACTTCTTGGGTATGAATTTTTCAACTTGTGAAAGAGAAAAGTTTCTGGGTAGCAAACTATCCGCAAAGGGCATAAAATGAAGACGACCAGGTTATCTGAACAGAAACAGTTTCTGGTTGCATGACGGCACCAACGGTTGCAACATCCAAAAGATATACACTATAAGAGGCACACTAATGGGGGAGAAATTTGGCGTCGTGCACAGGGCCCAGACTCTGACATAAAAAACAGAAATTAGGTTCAAACAAAAAGGTGAGATTGGGCACAATTTTGATGCAGTTGTCTGAGTACCAAACACGGGCGGATCCAGGAATGAGAAGTGGGGTGGGCTAAGCAGTAAAAAAAATTGCACTATACATACAAGGTTTAACTTAGGGCTGTTACCAAATCGAGCATTTTTCAAACTATATGCTCGAGTTTGAGCTTGATTTCTAATCTAATTTAACGACCCGATTTTAATGAGCTTCGAACTCGAACACGGACTAGGTTTTGAGTTTGAATAATAAATCAAATCGAATTCGGACATAGTGATGTTTAAATGGTTCAATCCGGTCTCAAGCATATTGCTCACTTATAAACTATAGAAATCAATTGTATTACATCAGTTCTTTTTTAGTTATAACATTGGTGAATTTCGCACTATTCAAATACTCTACTTTGACTACATTTTATATTTTAATGTATTATAAATTCTTTTTTGAAGATTATTTTTTTTTGGGCAATTTTTTTTTGAAAATTAATTGTTAAACTCCTCTCATTTTAAATTTTCAAAATCTGATATTTTTAATTTGTTTAATAACAAGAAATGAAAGATGTTAATGATTAAACTTGTGTGTTAGCAAACGTGAATACTAAACCGTTGCAATTTATAGAGAACGAAGGAAGTATATATCTCAAAATTTAAACGTTTTATTGCAATTTTAAGAATTTATTAATGATTATTAAAAATTTGAGTACATTTGTTGAATAATTCGAACATGAATCTATTAACGAGTATAGCCTAAAGTTCTACATTCAATATTGGTATGAATTAATATAATTCTATAAAACTATAAAACTAATAATAAAAAAAGACGGTTGTATAAAAAACTAATAAGTATTTCCAATTTCAAAATTCAATTGAAATTATTAATTCCTTCTTACATGTCCACACAATAAATAAATCTCTCTCTTATTTTCAAAACTTTAAAAAATGTATAAAAAATAAATCACTCTCTAATCTTTAATTCTATCTTTAGTCATTATAAATTTATAATGAATTAAAGCTTTTTTATTATGAACTGAAAAATTCACTTAATGATCAAATAGATTTACAAAACTGAAAAAAATGCACAATTACACAAATTCACAAAATAATACAATATTTAACAAATAAAACACACTAACACAATCGCTCCAGGCCCTCTTTGTTAATCAAATATTCAAATAGATTTACAATGGTTCACAAAATAATACAATTTTTAGCAAATTATATAATGTTTAATCAAGCAAAAAGGGTCTAAAAGAGTATTAGAATTTAGAGTATACCTGGAGCTGGAGGCAGCCGGCAGCCGCAGAGGAGAGACTCGGACTGGTTACTCGGAGAGCCGGAGATGGAAGACCGCTGACGCAGGGCCGTGGAACGTGGACGGAGGGAGGCGGCGCAACTGGTGGCCGCAGGTCGGCAGGGTTTCTTGTCTCCACCGCAGCTCCGGTAGTCCCTCGACCCTCTTCGACCTTGGTGATTCGCAGTTCGCAGTCTTGTCACTCTTGTGTTATACGGAGTAATATTCCCTCAAAAAAAAAGTCTTGTGTTCTAATAAAGCCTTCATTTTATTTCAAAAAAAAAAAAAAGCCTTCATTCATTTGGAGACGGCAGCATCAAAATCTGCAGGTTTGGGTGAGATTTGATCTGAGAATAAATTATTTTTAAAATATATTTTATTAATAAAATAAAGAAAACATTATGTGTAAAAATAGCTAAAATGGTGAAAAGTAACTCCAATCTTACTTTTTCTGCTTATTACACAATTAAGTGCGCGAAAGAAAAAATTACGTATTTGGTGAAAATGTTGGTTGATAAGTCCGATAAGCCGAAAAACAGTGTTGTC